CCCAGGATCCCCACCAAAGCTGATCTGCTGTTGGTGATTTAGAGTCTGCGGAGACTGAGTCAGAAAGGTCCTGACCAGGCACTATCCAAGGCGGCTTTCCCCCAACATCATGAACTGCTGCCCCTGGGTCTGTGCCTGTGCTCTGATAGGGGATGAGGCACAAAGAAAAGCCAGGATCTCAGCTGCAGTTTGTGGGGAAGAGCCTCGGACTCGGGAGAGGAGGCCCAATGGTCTCCATATGCCGGGAGTTCCAGGAGGTGCTGGCAGAACTCCCACCTCTGGGGCAGGAGGACTTGAAGAGCACAGGCTGAGAGGTCGAGCAGACCTGAGCTAGACTCTACCTCACAGCCTCGGGACATGGAGCAATGACGTCACTGCTCAGACTCTCAGTTTGCCCCTCTGTGAAATGGGGACAGTCACGTTGGCATCACTGAGTTGTGAGATTAATGGATAATCCCATTAAGGCAACACAGACACACCACAGCCTCCATCAGCAAGAATTAATGCAATTTTGGTTATTAATGTTGCAGGTGATACATTTGTTATTGCATTATCTTGAAGCCCATCTGTGAATTCAGCCCACTTACACTGTCCCTTGAACCATGTCCCCCAGAGCACCCAGGACCATAGGTTCAGGTTGGAAGATCAGGAAGTTGGGGAGGAGCTGGAAGGTTGGTGACCAGGACATGGAACAAGATGACTCTCAGATGAATGCCCTTGGTTCCCATCTGAGGGTCACAGCTCACCCTGGGTCCCTGTGGGGTGTTAACTGGGACTCATGTGGCTCCAGGAACCCTCGGCTTCCCCCAGAAGGCATGGCTGGTGGGTCTGTGACACTGTCACTCATGCCGTGGGTCCAAGCACTCTGGCCCCTGATAAGCTCACCTCCCTCTCCCCTGGCAGCCTTTACCCAGCCTCCCATCCCTAGGACCCCAAGCCCTGCACCTGTTGGCCCAGAGGGTCTGGCAGGGCTGATCTGAACTCTGGTTTCCCTGTGCAGCCATCACAGGTCAGAGACCAGACAAGTGGGGGGTGCGGCCTCACTCCTCAAGTCACTCTTTAGTGTCCTTTGATAAAATCCATCCGTGGAGCATGTGTACTTGTGTCAGTGTCTGTGTGTGTGTGCGCGTGCACACCTGCTATTGTTGCCAGAATATCCCAATTTGAATGTTTTTGTTTATCCTACCAGTAATAATAACATGCATGTAGGTAACTTTTACTACCTGCCAAACTCTGTTCTAGGATAGATGAGCCGACAGATGAGATTCACTGAATCATTTCAACAAACTTCACGTTATAGAAGCATTGTTCACAAAAGAATAAAGAAGCAAGCAAACGACAGTATAGGATGGATACAGTCGAGTATGTGTGGATTCTGCCCAGCAAGGAAAGTGAATGAAGGAGCTACCAAGGGACCCTTTAACACAGATGATGCTCAAAAGCTCAAGTTGAACACAATAAAAAAAAAACCCACAGGAGATCAAGGGCTGGACATGTGCAGCCTGTGAATATGCTGAGTGATCACAGTCACCTCTGTTGTGAAGGATGCATGAAGGGGGTTAAAGCAGAAACAAATGCAAGATGGGAGGAGGAGACAGGATGGAGGAGATGGTCCCTGGGAGGAAGGGGGAAGAAGGCTGGGAGGGACTCAAGGCTGCTGTAGTCCTGATGATGCTCCATGTGTGAACTGCTTAGTGCGAGCGGCCGACCACAGGGAGCATGCAAAGGTAACTCACACCTTCAGCCCTGGTCCCTCCTTCCTCTTGCCCTGCCCATGGCCACAGAGGCAGCAGTGATGGCAGACGGGAGCCGTGGAGCTCCAGCTCCTTCCTGATCCTACCTGTGACCTAGTCTTTTCTCTGTCCTCTCATGGCGGGTCATGCATGGTCAGAGTCCTGCGTTCAAAGTGGCTTTAGACTCTGACTCCCTGAGGCAATTATGTTACTAAACGAACCTAAACTCGTTAATCCCACCTGCACTGGCGTGGAGACTGCAGGGGTGGGGGTTGCTATGGCACCGTCACCATGGTACCCAGTGACCTACATCAACTGTGTGTCTGTGGAGGGGAGTACCCAGCATCAGTCAGCTGTGCAGGATGCCCGAGGAATGTGCCCCTCTGCCTCACCTCTGTCCCCTGATCCCCCTTGCTGGGGACACCCAGGGCCCTGACCTCCTCTCTACCTGTACCCAGGGCCATGGGTCAGGTGTGCACTGCAGGGTCTCACTCATCTCCTCTCCATAGACCCCACCTGGGGGGCTCCCATCTCTGTCTACACAGGAAAGCTGTGTGCCCACAGGACCTCAGAGAGCTTCCCTGGGGGTGCAGAGAGCAGAGGGAACCTCACATGGTTTCCCCACCAGAACTCCCGAGCCTCATTTGCCTGAGGTCAGCCTGGTCCACTCGGTGTCCACAGCCCCTGCCTCCATCCCTCTGAGACCCTGCCCCCTCCCTCCAAGTCCTCCCTGGACAGGAAGCTGGTGCGGCTCTTCACTTGCGGGGAGCATGGGGAAGGGTGGTGGATGTTGAATCTAGCAGCCATGTGGTCATGTTCCCACCTCTATTCTCTTTCTGCTTGGCCAGAATAGCCTGTCCACTCACCCTTCACTCTCCACCTGACCTGTCTTATCCTGGACTCTCAGCCTCACCTGGACTGCAGGATGCAGGAGGTCAGGCTTGGTTAGAGCCCACCTGGTCCACACTTGATGAGCACCCCGATGTGCAGGTGGGCAGTGAGCATCCCCCAGAAAGTGCCTGCCTGAGGTCGGAAAAGGGGCTCTCAGTTCCTAGACCAGGGCTTCCTGTGTTCCTTCTGGACAGATGCGTGTGTACACATGTGTGCACAGCATTTGTGAGCATGCACAAGCATATGTACGTGTGTGTATATGTGTACCCGCCCAGCATCTCCTCAGGAACCCCATCTGTGTTTTCAGTCCACTCACTCAAGGGGGCAGAGCCCATCTTTATGCTCAGCAGGAGGCATGTCATTCAATACCTGGTGACTGGGGCAGTTCATTTCTTGGGCACAGGAAACACTCCATAGGGAAGCTGGATCTTGGTGTCCCGTTGTCTGCTGGTACCCTCAGGAAAGTGGCGTCTGGGACATAAAAGCATGAAGGCACTGGGTGCCCCCTGGTGTGATCACAGAAGAGATGGTAGCTGCGTGGTAATGTCAGGAGAGTCACAAAGACAGACAGACAGAGATCCTAATAGCAGGGGAAAACTCAAGGTCCAGTTGTGCCCAGTACCTTCACCGCACGAATTGCCCTTATACATAAGCCTTCAAATTCCTTTGCTCTTTTTGATTTGTGCGGTCTTCCCTGGCGGCTCAGATGGTGAAGAATCTGCCTGCAATGCACAAGACCTGGGTTCGATCCCTGGGTTGGGAAGATCCCCGGAGAAGGGAATGGCAACCCACTCCAGTATCCTTGCCTGGAAAATCCCATGGACAGAGGAACCTGGTCGGCTACAGTCCCTGGGGTTTCAAAGAGTAAGACATGACTGAGCCCTTATACGTAAGCCTTCAAATTCCTTTGCTCTTTTTAACTTAAACTGTATTAACTTTGATTGCTCTCTTTTAGGCTTTGTTTTGTTTTTTGGTCAACCAGAGATCAAAATGGTGCCCCCTGCAGTGGAAACGTGGAGTCCTAACCACCTCATCTCCAAGGAAGTCCCTGACTGGTCTCTTTTAATACTAGGGAAGCTGCTGTATATCACAGGTAGCCGGGCCTGGTGCTCTGTAATGACCTAGAGGGGTGGAAAGTGGAGGCGGGGGGAGGGGGTGGGCAGGGAGGCTCAAGAGGGAGGGAATATATAGATATGTAATTATGACTGACTTGCATTGTTGTATGGCAGAAACCAACACAACATTGTAAAGCAATTTTCCTCCAATTAAAAAAAAAATTACTTTGTGAAGCTGTTAAACATGTCCAAGCCTTATCAGATTAACCGCATAAGAGGCTAGTGAATTCTGTTCTTCCATAAGCAGCTCTGGCTTAGGTGATGCGAATGGGAAAAGCCATCTGCTCCTCTGTCCCATCCCGGCTTCCGCTCTGTGACCCAGACCCCAGACTCCATCTCACTTTCCTGAATCTCCCAAAGACACCAGCTAAGGCCGGGAAGGGCCAAAGCTGAAAGGGAGCAGAACTGGCTTCAACCAAGTCCTCCTGAGTCAGATGCCCCTTTCCTGGGGTCTCCTCTGATTTCCTGACCTTTCTGATGTCTTTTTTAAGGGCACACATGGTTTTCTCCCCAAGGATGCAGGACCAGGGTCTGAGCAATAACACTGATAACCAGTCTATAGAAGCCCCTGCAGGGCACACCCCCCCCCAACACCAAATGGCACTTCGTTTGCAGCCTCTCTCTCAGGGGGGGCCACAGTCGGTCCCCCTGGGAACCTGTCCCTCCTCTGAGCTTGCAAACCCATGAGAAGGCTGACTTGCAGTGCCCAGGGGGTGGGGAGGGCCTGACTCCAGGGCCAGCTGAGGGATGACAGGAACAGCATCTGGAGAAAGAGGCATCTCTTGTCCCCGCTGTCCCCGCTGTCCCCGCAGGAAGAGTGACATCAGACGGGGGAGGGACCCCAGAGAGGGGAGGGGTCCGCGGGGGTGTGGGGACAGGGAGGGCTTTTCCTCCTTGCTTTGGCCTCAGCTCCTCCTTCCCGGCTCAGACAAAACTGTGTTATTGTTCAACGTTAACAGTGGTCAAGTGTCCAGAGGTTTCAGTCACAAGCTGCAGGATCGCATCTCACACTAGCTGAGTCCAGAGAGCGAGCACTGTCTTCTGTAACTGACAAGGTCGCAGGCAGAGCGGCCTCGGGGTGACCGAGCTCGGACAGCAGCCTGAGGCCGCCCCTCCCGTCTCTGCTCACAGGCCGTCTCCCCGGACCTGAGCGGGTGCGGCCACTGAGCGCAGGCAGGCATCCTGGCAGCTTCCAGCCCCGGAGAAAGCAGGCCCTCTGTGTGACCAGAGTCCCAGCAGACATCCGCAGACAGTGTCTCACCTCTCTGACTCGGGGCCTGTGTCCAGCCCTGAACCGAAGGCGGCGGCCAGGGTATGAGATGTACACTTGGCCAGGCCTGGGCCCCTGAGAGCAGGTGATGGTCACGGGATGTCCAAGGAGTATCCCAGAGGTCAGCCAGGGGAGAGCGAGTGCAGCCAGGAGCAGCCTCGGAGCCCAGCCTTCCTACGGCTCCCTCTGCTCCCATGAGCTCCCGGGAGCTGTGGGGTCACCTGCAGAGCAGTCCTGGGCCCCCGAGTCATGGTCTACCCGAGGGGTGGGGCAGAGAGGAGGTGGGGCAGCTGGGCAGAGGGGCTAGGGAGGTCCCGGCATCCAGAACCACGTTTGAAGCAGCTCCTTGGGTACCCCCGTGGGGATTTTAGTTCCAGAAATGATGCATCCACTAGGAGGTGAGCCTCCCCATGGAGGGAGCCCAGGCATGGAGGGCCCTTCCCTGAGGCTGCTCAGTCTACTCACAGAACGACTCCTCCAGGACCTGCTCACACGAGCTCTGCTCTTTATGACTTTAATCCAACACAGCTCCTTAATTGTGGGTGATCATTACCAGGGAAAAGCAGGGCAGGGAAATCACCGGATGGGGAGTTTCTGCAGAGTGATTTGCAAACCAAGAATGGACATGGTCATAAGACAAATACGTGTTCCAATTTCAAAGTGAGTTTGAGAATGAGCTGCAGAGGCAGGTGCTGATGGGAGCTTGAAACCTGGTAGTTTCTCCGTCAAAGAGGGAGAATCTGAAGGGCAGAGGGGTGCACATGTGAATGGCGCTCCCTACAGTGTGCAGGGCGCAGTGGCTGTGCTGCCCCTGGGGAAGGATGGGCGGGGTTCCAGCTCTCTAAGGTCCTGGTGACAGCCCTCCTGGGACGGCAGACTCCATCTGGGCTCTTAGTGCAACTGGACCACCCAGGACCTGGCTGTGAGGGGACATGGCCCTGCCCAGACCCTTGTGCCAAAATAAGCATTGAGGGACATCAAACGCCATCAATGCTTCTTAGTCTAAATGGTCAGGCCAGTTTCAGGTTGCTGACATTTTAGCATCTCTGCATAATTGTCTGGCAATGGAAGAGCAAAGCCCTAGCCAGATGTAAGGGCTTGCCTGTCTCCAAGTGACAGTGGACAGAGGATGCATCCCCTGGCTCTGCTCTCCCCAGGTTGAGGGCCCAGCAAGTGGAGGGAGAGCCGGTAGCTCAGACCTGATCGTGGCCTGGACCAGGGGAGCAGGGGAGGCTGAGAAGCTCCTGCAGGGGGACCCAGGTGAGCCGGGCTCCTGTGTGAGGGATGCGAAAGGTCTGGGGCAGGTGGCAGAGGAGATGATACAGCCTTGCTGGCACGGGAGGAGACGGAAGTTTCCTGGGTCAGGGGTCAGGAAGAGAGCTCCCAAAGGTGACCTTGACAGACCCCATGTTAGTCACTTGGTCATGTCCAACTCTTTGCAACCCCATGAAGTATAGCCCGCCAGTCTCCTCTGTCCATGGAATTCTCCAGGCAAGAATCCTGGAGTGGGCTACCAGTCCCTTCTCCAAGGGATCCTCTTGATGCAGGGATCAAACCATCGAACCCTGGTCTCCTGCATTGCAGGCAGATTCCTTCCCATCTGAGCCACCAGGGAAGTCCCTGAGAGGACATCAGAGATGGGGCTGCCCCGACAAGTGAGCAGACAGAACGATACACATGCAAGAAAGTGAACAGGAATACACAGGAGGGGAAGCAAGGTGACTGGGCGGTGGGTGTGCAGGGCAGAGCCTGGGTCAGGACAGAGCCCCTGAGGGGTGATGGCTCTTGGCAGACGCCTGGGAGAAGAGAGGGAGTCAGGTAAGGATGGGAGAAGGGCTGTCCTGGGAGTGGGCATGGTGGGCTCAAGGCCCTGAGGTGGGGGCTGCATAGAGAGAAGGGAGGGGCATGGGGAAGTAAACCAGGGGTGTCAGAGCGGCTCTGTTTGAAGACCAGGCTCCAACTTGAATTTGTCCCGGCATATCGGGAAACCACTGGAGGGCTTGGACTGAGGAAGTGACATGATCTGTTTGTCTTTAAAACCACCCCCTCACCAGCTCATGCCTTTTCCTGCCAAACCTAGCACCAGTGGACTCGGGCACTTCTGCCGGCCCTTCTAGGCTCTGGAGTCTGGATGGGAAGAGAACACTCACCTCTGTCTGTCTCAGGACGTTTACTTAATCACATTCCTGGTAGCTGGGGTGGGGTAGAGGCTCCCACTCCCTCCTTCCATTCCACGATGCAGTGGGGTGGTCTTGGCAATTGTCCCTTTGATTAGCAGCTGATAATTCATTGAGATGGGATCCATGGAGTGCAGGCTCGTTAAGCCTGCTAATAAGAAGAGAGGTGCCTCCACACCCACCCGGCCCCTCATCAGCTCCGTCAGAGTCTTCATAGCACCACGACTGCCCTGATGTTATGCCCTTCATAACAGCATGATCAGCCTCAGATGCTGCTGGCCTCTTGTCCAAACAGGAGGGGCCCTAGGGTTCTGTGAGGCCAGGGAAGTGGGGTAGAAGGGAAGGAGATGGGATTAAGGCCTCCTGGTGGCTGGACCCAGTAATCTCACTTCCAGTCTCTTTCCAGGGGATCTGGAGGGGCTGGAGGACCTGCTGGGATTTCTGCATCAATATTTATCAGGGATATTGGTCTAGTTTTCTATACTATCTCTGTCTGCATTTGGGTAACAGGGTAGCACGGACCTCATTGAATGAGTTTGGAAGTGTTCTCTCCTCTTGACTTTCTGGAAGAGTTTGAGAAGGATTGGTGTTAATCCTGAGCTATTTGAGAGAATTCACCAGTGAAGCTGCTAGGTCCTGGGCGTTTCTCTGTTGGGTGGTTTGATTAATAAGTCAACCTCCTTACTCACTGTAGGTCTGATTTTCTGTTTCTTCATGATTCAGTCTTGTTAGTTTGTATGTTTAGGAATTTATCTGGATTTTTCTCAGTTGTCCACTTAGTGGGTGTTAATGTTCGAGGAATCTCTTATGATTGCTTGTATTTCTGTGGTATCGGTTCTAATGTCTCTTGTTTCATTTCTGATTTTTTAGTCTTTTCCCTTTTTTTCTTTTAACTAAGGGTTTGTCAATTTTATTGATCCTTAAAAAATAACTTTAGTTTCATTTCTCTATCCTCTATTTTATTTATTTCTGGACTAACCTTTAATATCACTTCATGGATCATACCCTTGTCATGATGAAGGGGCTTGCATAGCTCAATGAAAAATAAGCCTTGCAATGCAGGGCCAAACAAAACGGACAGCTTGTAACAAAGAATTCTGACAAAACGCGGTCCACTGGAGAAGGGAATGGAAAACCACTCCTGTGGAAAACCACTGCTGTGAGAAAAACATAAACAGTGTGAAAAGGCAAAAAGATATGACATCAGAAGATGAGCCCCCCACAGTTTGGAAGGTATCCAACATGCTACTGGGGGAGAGCAGAGGGCAATTATGAATAACTCCAGGAAGAATGAAGTGGCTGGGCCAAAGCAGAAATTACACTCAGTTGTGGATGTGTCTAGTGGTGGAAAAATGCAAAGAAATAGAGGAAAATGATAGAATGAGAAAGACTAGAGATGTCCTCAAAAAAATTGGAGTTATCAAGGGAACACTTCATGCAAGGATGGGCATTAAAAAGGACAGAAACAGTAAAGACCAAACAGAAGCAGAAGAGATTAAGAATAGGTGGCAAGAATACACAGAAGAATTATACAAAAAAGTTCTTTTTTTGTATAGTGACTACACTAGAGCCAAATGTCCCGGAGTGTGAAGTCAAGTGAGCCTTAGAAAGCATTTCTATGAACAAAGCTAGTGGAGGTGATGGGATTCCAGTTCACCTATTTAAAATCCTAAAAGATGATGCTGTTAAAGTGCTGCACTGAAAAGTGAAGGAAAATGTTAGTTGCTCAGTCATGTCCAACTCTTTGCAACCCTATGGACTGTAGTTCACCAAGCTCCTCTGTCCATAGAATTCTCCAGGCAAGAATACTGGAGTGGGTTGCCATTTCCTTCTCCAGGGGATCTTCCTGACCCAGGGATTGAACCCAGGTCTCCTGCACTACAGGCAGATTCTTTACTGTCTAGCTACCAGGGAAGCCCATTCAATACATCAGCAAATTCGGAAAATTTAGCAATGGCCACAGGACTGGAAAAGATCAGTTTTCATTCCAATCCCAAAGAAGAACAATGCCAAAGAAAGTTCAAACTACCATACAATTGCACTCATTTCACATGCTTGTTAAGATTATGCTCAAAATCCTTCAAGTTAAGCTTCAACAGTAGGAGAATCAAGAACTTCCAAATATACAGGCTGGGTTTCAGCAAGGCAGAGGAATCAGAGATCAAATTGCCAACATTCGTTGAATCATAAAGACTTCTATTTCTGTTTCATTGATTACACTAAAGCCTTTGATTACATGGATCACAACAAACAGGAAAATTCTTAAAGAGTTGGAAATACCGGCCACCTTATTTGTATTCTGAGAAACCTGTATGCAGAGCAAGAAGCAACAGTTTAAAAGGCAGATGCAAAAAAAAAGAAGTAACATTTAGAACCAGACATCGAGCAACAGACTGGTTTAAAATAGGGAAAGAAGTACAACAAGGCTGTATATTTGTCACCCTGCTTATTTAACTTATACGCAGAGTACATCATAAGAAATGCAGGGCTGGAAGAAGCACAAATTGGAATCAAGATTGCTGGGAGAAATATTAACAACCTCAGATATGTAGATGGTATCACTCTAATGGCAGAAAGTGAAGAGGATCTAAAGAACCTCTTGATGAGGGTGAAAGAGAAGAGTGAAAAAAGCTGGCTTAAAATTCAACACTCAAAATGCTAAGATCATGGCATCTGGTCCCATCACTTCATGGCAAATAGATGGGGAAACAATGGAAGCAGTGGCAGACTTTATTTTCTTTCCCCACCCCATCCCCCCATCTAAACCACCATGCAGGCAACATGATTGATGCTGGGCACCTGCTTCTCTCCCGGATCTGGGATTTGAGGACATGCCAGGCAGAGGGTGGCTACTGGGCCAGCCTCCAGTGCAACTCTGGCCACTGAGTCTCTGACGAG